CCCCCACCCCCCCCCCACGCGGGCGGGGGGGGGGGGGGGGGGGGGGGGGGGGGGGTGTCACTGTGGCACAGATACACACGAGTCACGTGATCCCATCAATAATAGTTTCCATTATTGGCAGCACCAGAAGCCAAGCAGAATTAAAAAGCCGTAATTAATGACGACTAAGGAGCATCCTAACAGCCAGAGGAGGCCTAGCTGAGGATGTACCCTGAGCTATGTGTGAAGCAGGTGCCCCTTCAGAAAGACATGGAGGAGATCCCATCCAAAGCCACCAGCACCTGGTCACCAGAGGATCCTCCAGACTCTCGGCATTCACACCAGGGCAGTCACAGGCTGTCTGCCGATTGGCTGTGTAGAGCTTCCACTTGATTCTGATTGGCCGATGCAGAATCACCTCAGGCTGGTGATAGTTGGCCAAAGTCCTTTGCCATCTACAAAGATGCCTGATGAGCTAATTACGACGTGAGAAGCTGGAGTGTTCATTACCTCACGTCTTTTAAAAAAAAAACAAAAAAACACTTGCACGTGGCTAAATGAGCTTATAAACATATACGTATACACAACTGACAAGATTTTCTCTTCAGTGAAATCAACTCCATGCCGTCCCATTTTCCGATTCGCGGTTTGAGAAACACGGAGGACATCTGCTTCCCCAGGCCACCTTCATAATGTTTCACTCCATATTTTAATGTGGAACTTATTTTTAAAAAAAATTACAAATTTGACTAATTTAGCCTGACACAGATGCGATAAAAGGACTGAGCAGGAAGTGGGCCTTGGACAGGAAATGGGTTCAGACAGGAAGTAGGCTAGGTCCCGAGGCTCCGCGCGCGTGCCGAGCACTCTTCGCTACGGAGGGGCCGTGGGGGGTGGGGGGACACTGCGGTCTAATGCCGGCTGGGGCCCCACGCTGGCTGTGCAAGAAGGGGACCTACTTGCAGAAAGCGAAAGCCTATTTGTCAGCGGCAGTGAGCAGGGAGACGCTCCTGCGAAACAGCCTCATTCCAGCTCTCTCTTCTGGCTCCTTCAGAGGAGCACGTTCCCTTCCAGGCACACTTCCGCAAATAGATCTTCCCCGCAACCTCTGGGAGCGCCTAACCCAGGGGGACTTCCCACAGCCGCGGAATATTCAGGGAGAACGAGGCAGGAGCCCGGAGGATGCTGGGAAGGTGCGTGCGAAGAGGGGGGCGTGCGAGATGGCAGGTTGGAGATGGGGATTCTGGGTAGGTGGAGGACTGCGTTGCCTAAGAGGGCAAACTAAGCCCCAAAGACGCATGAGGCGAGGGGTGAGGTGGAACCCCAAACAGAATCGGGTGGGTGGAGTTACATGTGAGGCTGGGAAGGGTTAGGGGGGGGGGGGCGGCCTGCCTCGGACTGGCACTCACCTCTGCTGAGCCCGTCCGGACCGCGGAGGATCCGGCACTCCTCGATCTGTCCGAACGGCAAGAACATCACCCGGATGTCGTTCTCGTTGCACTTTTTGGAGACCATCCCGATGAAGAGCTTCCTATCCTCCACAGCTGAAGGGGACACAGCAGTGACAGGACTGAGCAGGTGCGCGTGACCGACCCCTCGAACCTGCTCCCTCCCCTCCATCTCTGACCCCCAGTCCTCAACTTGACATCATCTCTGCTTAACCTTTGGCAGACCATCCCAGATAGACATGTGACCATGTGCATGTGATTCAGGTGTGTGTGTGTGTGAGAGAAATGCTGCGTGTGTGGATGGGATCGTGAGGCTGCGTGTATCTGCGAGCGCGACTTGGTGTGTGTGTGTGTGTGGGGGGGGGGGGGAGACTGCACCCCCAACATTCAATGTGCCGCTAATCCAATTTGTTTTTAATGAGGAAGCTGTCAGCTGCCAGCGTGGGACCGGGCAGATAAGCCCACTGCACTCTGGGAAATCAATGCCGCACTGCTTTATTTTGCCGTTTGAACTGTTGGTGCGTTTCAAACGAACCGTCAGGATGTGCAGGAGATAGACGCCATTTCGAAAGCTTAAGCCCTTTGTACACAGTCTATCACCCTCCAGAAAGATTATGATACTTCAGCTGTGTAATTAATTTGCGGTCAAAAAAAAGCAGGATTGTATGATTTACCACATATTCCCCCACACTGGCATGAAGTCACAGCTGGACCTCAGGAATGTCACAAATTCTTTGGTTTAAAACTAAACGCACCCCCTGCTTGTAAAATAATGCATTAAACGAATAAGCTGATTGTCAGACAACCAACAGAAACAGGTTGGCTTATTCTGAGGAGGACGCTGGTGTGATGCCACTACTTTAAGAAGCTGGTCTGGGACAGCAGTG